AATCCACACAAAGGATTGCATTCCCGATCGATGGCATCAGTCCTGGTTCCGGCTTTAGAAAGAAAGATAGATATACCGAGATGTAGATACGTCGGGTACTCTTCACTTTTATGTACTTCACTCAGTCTGTGTACTATACTCTATGTACGGTGCTCTGTACCCTTGGCTGCATTCACTCGATGTACTTCACTCTGTGTACTATGCACTTGACTCGACGCATGTCACTCGATGTACTTCACTCTGATGTACTTCACTCTGTGTACTATGCACTTGACTCGATGCACTTCACTCGATGTACTTCACTCTGCTGTACTTCACTCTGTGTACTGTGCACTTGACTCGATGTACTTCACTCTGATGTACTTGATCCTATGTACTTCTCTAAAGGGCTTCGCACGGAAGAACCCTTCGCGATGCTTTCGGGAATACATCGGGGTTCGAGGCATCGCTACCGCGGAGGTCTTTCGCCGCCTGGTGTCACGAACCCTCGTGAAGGAGATGGCCGGGACCTCCACTCGCCGGTATCAGCGACGCTGCGCTTCCCGCCCGGGCAAGGACCCTGCTTTGCGTGCTGGGGCTGGCTGTGCACGGGGGGCCTGCTTGGGGCGTTGCTGGTCGCACTGCTGAGGAGTCGGTTGCGTGCGCCGGAGCTCCGGGCATGCGTGACTAGCCGAACTGGCGGGCTCGCTCGGGCAATCCTCCGCCGGCTTCTTCGCTGCCCTTCTTGAGCAAGCCACGGAGTCGCACGCTCCCGGCAGCAAGGCCCCTTCTCAGGGCCCTCACGCCCGCGGGCCCAAGGAGCTGGTCTTGAAGGTATCCACGCGCCGCACCGCGACGCTCGTGAGCGACTAAAACGTCCCCCTCAGGAGGATGCGTGGGCGAAGCAACTAACTCAGGCCCGACCGACGACGCATCGAGCCGCGGCCATCGCGCGCTGTCGCCCAGATGGGCCTTTGCCACCCCGCCGCTCCTGTCGTATCGGATGGAGCCCAACAGGCAGACAATGGAAACGGCTCCGACACTGATGCCGCCGTTGCACTTTCCGACACCCTCAGCCGCCACTCCTTTCGCTTCACCTCGTGGTGAGGTCCAGGCGGAAGGAACTCTCGGGAGCGATGGCGTTTTGAGAGCCCGACGAGGCGACACCGGGCTTCACGTAGCCCCCTTCACCACACTCACCGCCGCGCGAGCGAGACACCAATGCCGAGCCGTTGTCCTGGCAGGATGCTCGCCAGCTCAATGCCCAGCGAGCGAAGCACGTTGCTGCCAGCTCCCCCCCGCGAGCCGCTAAGCTGGCAGGATGCAAGCACACCACATGAAGCATCGAATCCATCGAATGCTGATGAACACAAAATCGCTCGATCTCGACGTCGGGGAAACCGACCCCGAGATCGAGCGATTTCGTCCTAGTTCTTGCGTCGCACCCATTGGGAATAGAACAGCAAACTGAAAAGGGTCAGGGTTCAAACACGTGTCGCCGCCTCCTCTCCGCGGCGCAGCCGGTGTGCGACGCCCAGAACGCCTCCGCGCGTTGACGTGTATACAGTGTACACCTGCTACGTGTTGCTCGCGGCAGTCGGCTGGACGTGTAGACCGTGAAGGGGTCAACATCGCTTTGCACGTGCACCCTCACGAAGCTCTGGAAAGCCACAGGCCCAGGCCAGCCTTGCGTCTGCCTGAACAGCTTCGGGAACTTCGGGACCTATACATTGATGCCGGCAGGAACATGCTCTCTGATCGGGAGTTGTTACCGTACGTTCCTGCAGAGCCGGACAACTATCGCTGCTGCCCCTTTCGTGCGTGAGTGCTCCGTCCGTGGTTTATAACCTGGAAGATTTTGCGCAGTCTCAACGCGAAACACACCACGGATGCAGCATGCGAGCAGGTGCTGAAGCAGTCGGTTGCTTTTTCGGGTCGCCATCAACACCATACTTTTTGTCGACACGGCTCCCTTCGACCATGTGACATTGCAAACGCCTGTCGCAGAGCACCTACAGAAGGCGATGATAGTGCCAGCACGACGTTGGGACTACCTACCACGACTGCAGTACCAGATCTACTGCTGCAACTGTAACACGTAAAGATGTTGTTTTGTTCCGAAGGCTTTTCACCAGCAGTCACAGCACGATCCGTGTGCGACGACGAGGCCTACACTTACAGGCTGCGCGCACCGGCAAACGGCTGCTCTGTGCATCTTCGTGGGCACCTGCATTCAGCGCGTGCGAGAAGCTAGCGCAAAGCAGCAGATCGCCAACTTGGAGGGAAAAGGGGAGAGAAAAACAATAAACGTGAACAGTCACTTGCATGCATGGCTCTTCGCCGTTTTGTCGATCATCACATTAGCAGGCACGCCGTCCTGGTCGGAAGCCATGTTGTTCTTCGGGCTGTGCAGTAACACTTCGATGCGGGCTAAGATCATGTAACCGAAGACTTTGTAAAGCAGACGTATGTGCGCGAGAACACAAAATCAGACACTAGTCTGGCGGATGCCTTTGTCGCAATCATGCCGGACAAAGTTCGGCGCAATGTAGATGGACAATCCCCTGTGTGTAACACCCGGCTCCAATAATTTCGACGGCGCAAACTTCAGTATTCCAGCAAGCCAATCTCATCACCGCTTTTGATGCCCTTGAGCTTTTGAATGGCGTCCGTCAGCTCGTCGAGGGACCACGATGCTTCAGAAAGCCTTGCAGGTTGTCTGAGAGGATTGGGACTGCCGGAAACCAAATCTTCCAGGCGATGTGCACGACGCTGCAGTGGCGCTAAGAAGGCCGGTGACCGCCCCTGGCAGCTTGATGCTGCGGCCATCACGTCAGAAGCCAGGCCGAAGGTGGCTTTAAGGGAGGCAACAGCAAGCTTTTGCGATAGCAGGGTGTTGCGACTCCACGATGCCTGGATCCGTTCCTTGGCGCCGACAGGGACAGTCTTGCCACGTTTTTGTTCTTCGTGCGTCTCTCCTGCTGCCCTGTCATCCGTCCCCCTGTCCCTTTGCAAATAAAAGCTGAAGCTCTTACGCCCAGAGCGGGAGACGACTCACTCCGAAGAATGGCGAGGTCCAGCGCCTGCCATCGTTTTTTCAACCTCGCACGGCTGTGGCTCGAATGGCAGGCAGCACGCGTTGGGCCCCGACAGAGAAGATGCTGCTGTCCGCTGTGCGTGGTGCCAAGCTTAAGGCTAACGTCCTTGTATGCCGACAGGCGGCCTTGCTACCCTGGTCAGGGCAGCTCGTGCTCACGGCCATGCGCGTTTACGCAGCGTCTTTGCACGAGCTGCTGCTCGATGAAGTGGTGTGTTGACACCCCCGAATCTGGCTTCGGTATAATAGCCTGCGAGTGAAGCTCATGGGTCTGCGTTCGACGGCTCACAGCACCTCTGAAATGATCCCATCACGCAGGCTGCCCAGCGCATGACAAGCAAGTCTGGCAAGCTATCAAATTCTTTGTGGAGCGGTATGCCTTCTCGGCGCAACTTCGAAGAAGGCGTCTTCCCACATCGACGTGCCGTTCCGGATGCAAGCACGACGCTTCCCCTGTTCAGTCCGTACAGGCATGGGTTGCTCGCTGCTATGCCCCTGCACGGTCTGCGTCCACATCGAATTTTCGCTGTCAAGCTTGAGGTGTGCCAACATGAACTCGAACGTTTAGTTGCCATCGCTGCAATGCCGCGTCTTCAAGGAAAAAGCCGAAGCTGCGACCGAGCCGAAGCCTTTGCAGACCGCACGTTGCCCTTTTCTTCCTCCGAAAGGCATATCAGCGCTGGAAGTCGACTAGAGTATGGCATCTTGTTGGGGGGAGGCTTTAGGGCTTTAGGGTCAAGCCTGATGTGCTACGAGGGATGCTGGCCATGCGAGATCAATGGGGTTTTCTTTGACCTACAGCCGTGTCTTCACTTTACGTGTCGCTTGCCTATGCTACGATTTCACCGAAGCAACGCTGGACGCTGGACGACCTCGTGCTGGGTGGATCTCTTAGGATGGAATACACACTCTCGGAAAAACCTTCGGTGTTCAGTTCCAGTTGTCTTGTACCAAGACATTAACTATGAGGATCCACCCAGTCACCTCACGTCTGAGCGAAAACCTCCTCTCAGCGATGCTCTCAGTTCACCGGCACCGCGTTGGTGTTGATGTGAGCTGCACCGAAGGGGTCGGACTTGGTAAAGACCTCGTCTGTGTGGCTCGGAGTGAACGTCGTGTGCCTCCCTCGCCCCTGCAGTGTTTCAATGTTGGGCCAAGGTGTTCATGTTCAGGTGGGACAGCCTAGGGAAAGCTTCCACGATTGACCTGCAAGATTCTGCGCCCTGCGGCACCTTCAAGAGACAACAGAATCGCCGAAGTCCCAAGCCGGACTAAACCCCAACCCATGTGGGTAAGCGGCGGCTCGCAGCTGCATGGAGTTGCTGTCAGACCACCACGGGTTCCTGGGCAAAACGCAGCAGCCGCAAGAAGTCTCAAACCTCGGTAAGACCAGCCCAAGGTGCTGTTCCACGTTGATGGTCCACATGCCGTTGTCCCCACCTTGCTGGGCCATGCGCACCATCCGAAGCTTTTCCCGCACCGCCGGCGCCTGAAGGAGAGGAGGGAGAAGCTGTCCCCACATAAGGCATCTGCATGTGGCAGACTTGCAGCAATGTGCGAATCCTCTTGCCTGCCGCGCCGTGTTGATCAAGGCCTCGGCACATTGCACATCACGACGGCTGGAGAACACGGCCGCGCGTAAGAGACTAGTCCAAGGGGCAGCTTCCAAGTCCCGGAGGCCCTGGGAGTCCACGGGAAGTCCCAGGCGCCTCGAAGGGAAGCTTTCATCGCTTTTGGGGGCTTCACTCCTGGCGTTCAACTTGTACGTGCAAAAACGCCCGGGGACTCTGAGAATTTGGAGCTTGTGCCCCGCAGAGGCAGGCGACCCGTGCCTTTCCCGTGCATCCTCTCAGCATTTAATATTTTAGTAACTGCACAGGCCACGTCGAACTGCTTGAAGGACCATGGGACTCATGAAGTTGTGCTTGAGGTTGCATGTGCTTTGTTTTTCTCTCTTCACTGAAAAAGAAACCAGGCTGATGCCTGCTGCCCCCTACGGCCGCCCTGCACCTCTGAAGCCTCAAACAGCCCAAAGAAGGAGACAGGGAGGGAAGTTTTCCATCAGAGACTTCGACAGAGCTCTTCTGAGCGTCCTGAGGATGGGCTTCTGCAGCTCCAGCGCCTTCGGCCTTCGTAGAAGTCAAAAAAAGAACCCCCAAAGGGGGACTGTGCAGAATTCTGCAGAACTCTCCGCAGAACTGGTCTGTCTGTCACACTACAGTAACCGCGGCTTCCCCGAGGTTTGGTGAGCCTGAGGTTCATCAGGAAGGACCGCTGCTCGAATGCCGACTGTCGGGCGATCTCCGCGGCGGCCTTCACGAAGCCTAGGAGGCGAAACCCAGGTCAGATCATAGGCTGCGCAAAACACCTACAAGTCGCCCTGAGCCGCCCGACCTCCTCGATCCTTGATGTAACTTGGCAAAAGCTTCCAAAGCTAGCGAACCCGCACAACCCGAATGCATGTTTGCAAAGCAACAGTATAGTATACATGTGAGAGTTACTGTAATATGTGACATGCAATTGTGCTACATTTTGTGGTGTTGTATTCATTGCATTCCTTCGTCACTTAGGACCATTTTGCACCAGGTGCGCAACGTTGCGTTGGGTGAGGCCTCATATATCTCATTCAAGGCGACCTGCAACACCATAACCTGCTGGTTCCGAGACACCTCAGTAGACGCTAGTATAGAAGTTGTACGGACCCTGAACTTGTAAGTAACCTAAGACGACGTGAACAAAGAAGATCGATGCCCAGAAGCTGGGTGATTCGTAGGCTTTCTGCAGGTCCGAAAGGATGTCAATGGCCTCCGCAGGCCGACCCTCCACTTTACGCGTGCTTCCGTGCTCTAGTCTGTTCACTGGTGTCCTCCATAACTTCTTCCTCATGGTGACGGGAGCGAAGGGTTGCCTTCTGGTTTTGCTTGCTGCTACATTTTCGAATTTCTGCTTCTTGTCATGCTTTCTTGCTCCTCTCCGACAGTGTAGCTTCCGCTGTCAGTCCATTTGCTGTCAACGTGGCTGTCATTATTGCTCTTGCGGCTGGTGACTATGAATGCCTTTGCCGCACACTGCCACCCTTGTATCAATGCGGATAGTACTGGTGCAGTAGTCTAGGTATTTGGATTCAAACTCTTACGACCTTGTTCTTTTTGTCGAGCCGCCGTCGTTGCTATCCTCTTTTGTGTGCCGACGTCTGAACAGGGCTGGCCCGTAATGGCTCGGCACCAGTGTCGAAGAGCCTATGACTCTGGAGACTGGACGAGCCTTTCGAAAACCCTGCGAGGCCGTGCCTGGATCTCGGTGTAAAGCGGCCGGGAACGTGCTAGTCTCTGCTGCTTCAGCGGATCCTTCTTGTAATTTCAACTCAGAGGTCTTCTGGGCTTGAAGGCTCCGATTTTGAAAGGCTTTCGGCCCTGTAGAATCCCACTCTAAAGTGAGCTTGCTCGCCTGAACACTTCGACACAGTGAGTCTATCACTATGTGTTCACAGGCGCTGACGAATCCTGTCATATGGGAGTTTCAGGAAAGAAGGGACCATAGTGCAGACCCTTAGCGTGACGATTCTTGGGAGCCTGTTTATAGCTGGCTGTGGTCAGAGCCTAAGTAGCAAAGGCTTCACCCAAGGTGTCCTTGCCCAGGGCATCGCAAAGGGCCCTCCACACGGTGCTTGCCATGCGCCGGCGAAGATAATCGCCTTTCCTAGGCGGTGCTGTGCTGAGCTTGGCCGCAGGATCTGCTGTTCTTGTTGCTTGCCCGGAGTGCTTTTAAGAGTTGGCCAGAAGCGTGACTGACCGGAAGCTGTCTTATGAATCGAACATGCTGTTTCCGGGCCTGGCCCAAGATGGGAGCAGAAGCTTCCGCGGAATTGCATAAGACATCCAATGTGATCGTCGGGATCAGAGGGCGGCCGATATCTATGGAGTTTAGGGCTCATGGCTTAGATCGTTCGAGGCTCTTCGCGTTGATTCTGCCCATCAGCTCATTGATGGTCTCGCGCACAGTAGGACGGTCGTAGATCCTCAGCCATGCAGCTTCGGCGAAGACGTTGCCTGTGACTAAAGGCGTACCCAATCTACTTTGCGGCTTTGCGAGGGCGCGCTTGGTGCAATTAATGGCTACTCTTTGAACAGACGTCCGCAGCCATGAAGAAGGAGAGGTCAAGTGGGCTTCTCTACTGTTTTTGCTGCTCCTCTGTCAGACTTCAGCGATGGCTCAGGCTGAGGGAGAGCTGCGTGTCCGGGAGCTCCGCCTGCAGATGACGCACCAGGTCCACCTGGGAATTTCGACAACTCTGACGAAGCACCTGCACTTACCGACATACCACATCTGAAAGGGGCTAGAAGCATCATGCCGCAAGGCCCGCCTTGTTCATTCGTCTCTTCTGTACAACAGACCACAGCCAAGCTGCAAAGCAGACCTGGGAGGATTGGACTCCAAGTCTGCGACCCTCTTTGCCGAGGCGCTGCCAGCACGGAATCTACGCCGATCTCGATGAAGACCAGGTCTTCAAAGAGGCTCCTGAGGAGCAAAGCAGCAAGCAAAGCTGCGCCTGAGAACACCATGTCCTGCGTTAAATCCAAGCGACAGGAGGCTGGGATCCAGCTCCTTGGGCTTCGAGATCCTCGGCTGCTCCAAGGGCCCTTACTGGGAGATTTGACGCTTCGACTCCGCAGAAACCTGAGGATCGCTTTACGCTTAAACCTGAACTGCTAACCGGGTGGGGCTTCCCCAGTTCCGCTGCCCTCACCAGCCCCGGCGAGTCCCTCTCAAAACCCACCCGCGTCGGACGAACTCAAAGATCCCGAACACCCATCCTGAAGTGTTAAGCCCCGGTAAACCACGAAGCACAGGGCAGCCAAGCGGCTTTTTGTCCAGCAGCGCCGGGGTTCTTGTTCTTGTTGTGGTCTTCTTTGCCGCTGTTTTGGCCTGAGCTCTAAGCAGGCGGGAGTGCAGCAGCAGCCTACCTTTTCGAGTCATTCGGACAAGACTTCCGACCAGTTGGAATGAACAGTTGAATTCTAACTTCTTGGTTGCAACTGTTGCAGGAGTGAAGGCCAACCCAAGCCGAACAGCACGCCAGGATTCCGCTCCCAATCCGACGTCTAAGCGCTCGAAAGCCGAATCCCGCGGCCTTGCTTTCGAAATGTGAAATCTGATGGAACTCTCGGATCAAGCCTCAGGCTATGCATATTCTGTTTGAAGAATCCCAGGCGGTCAAAGGACAATATTGCTTGGAGGTTTCCATTTGCAGACGTAGGTTAGGTTTGATAAGCTTCGACACCCAGAGCACCGACAGGCACAAACACCACAACGTGCATTTCACCCATGTGTCGGGGAGCAATCCTGAGGCCTGAACCTGCCCTGAGCCAGACACGACACAACAGGGGGTTCCAACTTTAAACACCTTCCCGGATCCCTGCCCAAAGCCGAAACCGGTCCTGAAAACAACCGAGTTGCCGGTGGCGGCGTAAGTCCGGCTCGTGCCAGCGCCTCCAATGACTCGGAGGAAAAACGACGGCGGCTCCATCCAGAGAGCAGATTACGGCTCAGTGCTTGATTGGGTTTCGCGCCGAAACTCCCCACTGGATTCCAGGACCAACAAAGAGCAGTGTCGCAGACACACAAAACATCACTGCGCTCTCGAAGTCGGCCTGATTGGCCTCGCCGTCGCGATGCCTTGGTTTCAGGTCCGTGAGCGGGGCCGTAACCACAAAGCTCAGCGGACATCGACACCGTCGTCATCATCGCAATCATACCTATAATCATAACAACGATCATCATCATCACCATCATCATCATCATCAGCAGCATCCAGCATCGCTACTCGACCTAGGCTGTTTTTGGATCACAATGCAGGCGGCCCGAGCGACAGGGCTTGCAGGGCGCAGTACTTCCGATACCAGGCCTGCCCAAGGCAAAGGCGCGTGGCCGTCTAAGGTGTGGGCATTTGGCTTTGAAGCATCTTGGCTTTGCTTCCGTCCCGCAAGACCTCCCTCAGCCTTCTCATCTCCCTGGTTGATGCCCAGGGCTGCGTTCGCCGTGCTCAGCGCGCCGCGCGGCAGCCCGAGCTTCAGCGCCTCGTGGAGAATCTTTGGCAGCTTGGCTGTTTTGGATCAGAGGGTCCCGTCACTTGAGTCATTGAGATGGAACAGAGGGCGTTCGAAGCTGAGGGCCACTCGTGCACTTGCAGTCCTTTCGCTTGAACCTTTCTGCTTCGCAACGGGCACCATCTGTGATTCAAGCAGCCAAGGCCTTCGACTGGGGGAAACCAGAAAGATAGCAAGCTACCCCCATCGTCAGAAGCAGCAGTGGCGCTAGCAGGAGAGACAGAAGCATCCGAATCACGCCACCCTGGCTGATCTGTCGGGAAACGGCCGCCGACCGGTTCTTGAGAAGCTCCGACCGGAGCTTCGCCACCGGGCCGCCCCCAGGTGCGGTCGCCAAGAGCTTCTGGCCCTGCCAGAAGTGCCACAAAGCCTCTCAAGGATGGTCACGAAACTCACACCTCAAGCACGGCGTGTTCGTGATGTGACGGAACCTTGTCGAAGCGCTCCTCATTGAAGGCGACGACTCCGAGGTGACGTTCCTCTTTGCCGTCCTGTCTCGGGCGAGCTAGATGATCTTCCGGAAGTGGGCCGATGCCCGCCCTTTGCACCTACCGGCCTGCAGAGCTGTAAAGCTATTGAGCCTAGTGAGCTGATACGATGATGCTGGCGATGCTGGCGATGCTGATAACTAATCACCGGGTGATGTTGATGTTGATGATGAGTGGTGAGGACGGCGAGGATGACGATCTTGTTGTTGACGATGGTGATGGTGAAGATATTGGCGGTGACGACGAAGATCATGACCGTGATGTTATGATGATGTTGTTGATGATGATGATGATGCACTCCGTGCTAGACTCTGCTGGGTAGTTGTTCCGGGGTAAAGCCTGAAGAGGGAGCCGTGAAGTGCATGACCTTCCAGATCGGCCGTCTTATGTCGACAAGGAGCGCTCACTACAGGACTCAGGCCTGATGCCCGACCAGTCCCTCACCGTGAAGGACTTTGCTCGATTCTGTTGTTGTTGTTGTTGACCCTCTCCCGAGCCGAAAACCTCCTGCTAGCAGTATTCTTTGTGAACGGAGGTCCTGGATCAACTTCGTCACTTCGTCACTCGGCAACGTGCCCTGCTCCTGAGCTTGGGCCGAGCTGTTTAGGGGTTTGAGGGAAGCACGGCACGCCGGGCGGGCAGTTCGGAAACTTCCGGACGGTGGGATTCAAGCTGAAGGTGTGCAAGGCGATGCGGATTTGTGGGGCTCAGGTTTTGGCTGCATGTCTTCACAGTTTGGAGTGGGTGTTGGCTCTCATGTCCTTTCTGTAGGCTGGAGAACACCGAAAGCTCGACTTCTTCAATCGTGATTCATGGTCCCCTTCCGAAACGACGGAATCTGAAACCCTCTGGTACCGAGGCGCGGGAAGAGGGTCCAAGAGCTTCCACATCCACTCCTCTGAGGTCGAGGCGCCTTCGGCGAGAGATTGAAGCATTTGAAGGGCTTGGGCTTTGGCATTGGAGGCTTCGGGGCTTCTTAGTTGAAGCTGCTTGGGAGGAGTTTCATTGTCATGTTGGGTTCAGGCCGTCCGCGACGCGCCACAAAGGCTCAGTAGCACTGACCAGTAGTCCTAGGAACGCCGTCATCTTCTCGTCTGGAGCAGTCCTCGTTACAACAAATAAAGCACCCCTCCCCCCAATCCAAAAGCTGCTGCCCACTTTGCCAGAAAGCTTCACACGAAGCCCTAAGGCTCCTGGTAAGACCTTTTCCAAGAGAGAAGCAAAACTCTGTCCCAGTCCCAGGGCACTCTCCAAGTCCCCGCTGTCGCAGAGCACGCGCAGGGTCTCCACGTCGGCGCGGAGGTCCTCGGGTCTGGTCTATTGTGGCTTTTCAAAGAGCAAGGAGAGAGATATGCAGTATCTGAGAAGCCCTATAGACAGGCGGGGAGGTGTCACCTCAAGGTGGGCTCTCCAAACTTTTGGTCCTGAAGGTCTTCAGGACCACATCCATCTCAAACATGATGAGACTCCCAATATCAACATTCCCAACACCACGCCACCGGAAACTTTAACTCCATAAACTCAAAACACGAGATCCCTCAATACCCCAAGCCCAACCATCTGTCACAGCCAATCACACCAACCAAATCGCTGCTAAACATCAATTAACAATGGAACCTTACAACTCAGTCTATTCTGCTTTTTCCACCCATCTCACCCATCTCATCCATTACGACTCTCCTCCTCTCGCCTTTCTCACATCTTCGGCTTCTCAAGTCTTCAACTGTCGTCAAAGCCCAAACTTTAACGCCCGCAACCTGAAACGCCAGGTATCGCCAACTCCCACGATATATAAAAGCTGGCCTTGTTCAAAACCCCTTGGGCCTGGAAATGTTACGGAAAAAAACTAAACTCGTCAAAAGTACTGCGGCGAGTAACTTATGGAATATTCCCAACTTCAATGCTCAAACAAAACCGTAAATTCAAACACTCCACACGATTACACCTGTGGAGCGTGATACCTTATTCTTGATTCTTGTATGGAGGCCAAGAATCAAGTCAACAAGTCGGCCAGAAAGCCCACCCTGCAACATAAGGTTGGCCTCCTTCCAGTTGTAACCCCCCTCCGCCCACGCAACATCACAAAGACATATGCATTACCTGAGGCACCAACCAAAGGAGGGTTACAGATGTTGCAGTAAGAAGCGCGTCAGGCCAAGTGTCTGGATCTCTCAGCATCACTGCCACGGGAGTGCCCTTCTCAGTTGCCTCCATTCCGGCGTCGTAGATGTGCCACTGGACGAAACAGTATTTCCTCCGGCACTCAGAGCTACAAGAGAGTCGCTCGAAGCAGAACACCTAGCTAGTGTTAGAAACCGAAAAGCTCCGTCTGCACTCCTAGCTGCCACAAAGTGTGATACCCGCGCACTCGACTTTCGCGCGGATGATCTCGCATGACATCAGCTACGAGTGCGGGAATGCTTAACGGGGAAGTGCTCTTCGAAAGCAGAACACTTGTCGGACGCTCCCATGAGCGGAAAGGGAACCAACCTGGCAAAGGAGAGAAGATGCCCCCCCCCCCCTTCTACACATGCAAGAAGAAGAAGCAGGCTTGCTTTAGGCCTCCTGACTTAAACTTGACGACGACCCCTTGGGACTCCTTTGCCTGGCTTTTCGATGCAGTCGGGCTTCCACATCGGTGCCAACTTGGTGCGCATGTCGTCCGAGGCATCTTCCACAAAGTCCAAAGCCTGGCATATGAGCCATGCGCTACCTACAGGTAGAACCACTGCTGCGACTCCTTTCCAATTTCACAGGTTTGGCATTGATTTTGATGATGATGATGAATGGGGGGGCCGCGAACGTGGGCACGAACACCGAGGAGAACACTGGTTACATGATAACGCTGCTGTTGGCGATGGCGATGATGATATTGCTGCTGATGAAGCTGCCTTTGGATTGATATCGTGATTGACACTTCAGCGTGGATTGGGCCCAAACGGCGCTCTGTGCCGGCTTGGTGGATGCACAGATGCACGACACAAAACTGATGTGACTCCTCGTGAATCTCATGCACCTCATTCCGCATCGCTGTCCCCAGATTCGGTGCAGCTTTGGGCTTCCCGACTTCCCGACCTGGCCTGGCGCTGCTTCTCGACGGGCAGCTCGTGGGCCTCTTGATTCCTTTGCTCCAAGAGCTATCATCTCTCTGCGTACCCCCTTTCTCTTCTTGCTTTCGCTCTCCTTGCGCGCCGGCCTACAAGACCGAGGTTTCAGGCAAAGTCCCGGGTGTCGTTTGAGGGTCCCTTTGGGGCCGCTAGGGACTCTAGGGACTCGACACATGTTGCTTTATGCTTGCAAACGACCGAGGCGTTGGTAAGCTACGACTAGGAGGTAACCGGGCGAACCGCCAGAACGGCATCTTGCTGGACGACATTCTTTCGCACGTGGCAGCAACTGATGGGAAAGCCGTCCAATGTCGTCTCCCTACTGATCACACCTCTGGCTATGCGGTTTCCTGTGACGAAGCGCTCCTTGGAACTTGCATGAAGACTTCCTGCTCTGCTTGTGAATCTGAAGAACATGTGATGCCTACTGCAGCCGCAGGGATGCCTATCTTTATATCGGGGGAGGAATGCAGCAGCGTGGTTACAAGAGATGCAAAGACAATGACCAATGAATCACGAAACATTTGCCGGCAGTGAAAGGCAGCTCGTGGAGGTTGGTCAGGGCTCACCAACAAAGAACCCAAACGAGGATTCAACGAGTCGGCGGTAATTGCAAATGCAGCGATGATGAAACAATGAGTTTTAGGCTGACAAGACCGAAGCGTCAGGATCATGGGATCGCTGTCCCATCTGTTCTTGCCAGACTTGTCCATGCATAGCTTCAGAGCACGATCCCATCGCAAGAATCTCATGCCGGGCGATACCAGACGGGACGAGGGCGCACCAGGCGGCGCAGCGACTTGCTATTCCTATTCCTAGTGCAGGGACTGGCTCGGGTGAGTGCATGTGAGGGAGTGAGTTTACTGATCTGCATCTTGATTTGGCACTGCTGCTCAATACACTGTCCTTCGTATCTGAAGAAAACAAGTGTCTCCGTGCAAGTACGTCAAGACAGCGGCGAGGAAAGCATTCTGCAGTCATGATGACATGTCTCAGCCCAGCATATACTCAGCACAGCAATCGTCAACAGCATCGCAGCTTTCAAGCCAAGACTTCAACGCCTGATAAATAAACCCTCGCGTTGGCCCTGCATCCCACTTCCTGTCGCAGACTTCTCCCAGAGGCCTCTGGCTCTGTCACGAGACTGCGCTTGAACAATATGGGCAACTTCGTGGCCTTTTCTCATGCAGAACGCAGCAAATTCCGTGCAGGGCTAGCTACTTCTGCTGTCCTGTGTGGTTACGGGCGAAGATAGCCTTGGCCTTATTGACTTATGTCGAGGCTGAATACTGCCTTCAGCCAGTAGGATGAACAGTCTGCAAGAGGTACTCATAACCTTGTGACTCGATCTGAGTTTTGCTGTGAAGTGAGTCTTGCTTTGACGCAGTGGAATCTCATGCATGGCCACTGCCTATAGAAGTATTCTGTACTTTTCTCGTTTTTAAGTATGCGCTGGTTGGACTCATCGTGGACCAGGCAGAGGTGAGACATAATGCGGTTCTCAATGGATGTTCTCGAGCTCCGCTTTCCGCTCTCCTTGCGCCAAAGCCATCTCAGAAAGCAGCGGCCGACTTGGGAGCGTTGCGGATCTTCCGGGACGGCAAAATGTTGAATGTAACCCGAAAGCACTCCTGTTATACCGAAAAAGCGCCTGACATGAACACTCAATGACTTCAGGGAGATGAGAGCAGAAATTTGACAGATCTCCGTACTTGTGGTGGAAGCGCTCGGCCAAGAAGTGGAACCTAAGCCGTGTCGGGTTTTCGGTGCTGGGCCAAGCACATCATCCACAGCATGGTACCAAGTAAGCACCAGCATCATCATTCGTCATGCCGTCCGACTCTTAAAGTTTCGTTCCTCCATAAAGTCGGCACGGGATCTGGCCTTGCAAAGGAGGCGTGGGGTGAACGAGGAGGTGGGTCACTACGGATTATACTGGAACAGCTCTGAAGCAAACAAGCCATCAAACGCTTGACAATCTAGACTGGCAGACCTTCTCTAAGCTCCAGGCGGAGCATCGACGATCCCTTTCCCAGAGCACGTCTCGAAGAACCTTGGGCCAAAGTGGCAGACCAGGCTCAGCCCAACAGGGATGCCCAGTGTTTCATTCGCTGGTCCAGGGCTGCTTGCTATCCTGACAGGCTCTGCCGTGCAAAAGCCTTCTTGTCACGAGACCCTCAGTTACAAACGAATCACCGGTCACGCAAAGGCGGGAACTCCAAGCCTCTCTCGCCACTGAACTGGTGTCCCTGCAGGGCGAAGCAAGATGCAACGACTCACTTTTGGAGCTAAAACGTTTATTGAGACAACTTGAAGCACGACTTTGGTTTGCGTGGTAGAGGAACACCCGGTCCGTGTCACAAAGCGACAGATCCAGCCTGCTCCGACGACACGCAGCCCGGTCGATCAAGCAGGTCCATCTTGGTGGCGATAACCACCTGCAGCAAGCCCCAAGGCCAAGCACCGAGCTAAACATTTCTCTGGAAACCTGAGAAGGCTCAATTTGGAGCGCCCTCACCGGAGTGCCGAACCCAATGCTTGAACACCCAAGCAGTCATGGGGCTCCCACTCCCGAGATGGCCGTGTCGGCCCGGGCGTGCTTCAGCTGGGCGTACCTCCCAAAGAGGGATGCTTCATCTCAAGGGGCCCCCCAACAGGAAATCTCAACTCAAGACTCTGGAACCGAAACCGAGGGGGCCCCCCCAAGGTCTGGAACTTCGATCTTCGACCCCAGGCTGGGCTATGAACGTGCTTCCAGGTGGCATCCTGAACGTCTATCAAATGTGTGTATTGGGGTCAACCACCAGAATCAAGAATCAAGTCCATGGGCCAAGTGACCAGTCTTCAAGGTGGCCAAAGCTTTCAGGGTTCGACACATCGTAGACCTGTCAGTTTAGGGTGTGAAGGAAGTCAGGCTTTGTTTCGATGGTCAACTTGCAGTGTGTGCGATCTGGAAGGCAAGGTAGGCACTCTCTGATGCAGAGTGTCAACTTTGTTCGTTCGTTGTCTTGCGGCTTTCGTCTGTTCTATTGGTCCAGTTCGCGCCTCCGATCTCCGGTGCACGCTTCGCTACGAGTTCATGAAACAATCCGCGGATCAGGGTTGAAGACTGTCTTGGAAACAAATGCTGCGTGGCGTCGAGACTTACTCTTGAGGGTTCCTGGTTGGAAGGTTTAGGGGCGGTGGTCAGTCAGGCTTTGCCACTCCCCACTCCCCTTTCTGTTCCAACAGAAGCAGGACACAAAAGAAGAAACACAAGAGGATCGAACAAAACGCCACATGTAATAAGTCATTCGCTGCGGAGTCCCGGATTCATGGTGCAGGGCCTTGATGGTTGCATGAGGGTTCGGGCCGTCACATCTTGCACGATGTCGGGTATTGATTGGTGATTTCTGCCCCCCCCCCCCCCAGAGTCGTTCGTTTGTGGCCCGGGCC